GAAGTGTAGTTGTTCTTGGGGCTAGGGCCGAAGCGTCTCTCCTTGCGGTTGTGGCGCACGAGGGCCACCTCGACGAAGATGGAGATGATGAAGAAGATGCTGGGAGACGTTAGAATTTGGTTTTCCAGGCGTGACGAGGATGAGAACTTACATTGCGACGATCGCGACGGCCAAGCAGGCAGACTGCAGCTTGCAGGCGGTTCTCAGACTGGGGAGATGAGTCCAGCCATCGCTTCCAGTGTTCGTGGGCTCGCCGTCGGCGGGGCCGTTGCCGAAGGGGGTATTGACGGTGCCAGAGCACGAGTTGGCGCCGTCCTTGTTGGCGACGGCAACGTAAATGAAGGCGGCGATGAAGGCGACGTCGAGGACGATGGCCACGAAGGAGGTGAAGGCGTGGCCGGCGAGACAGCAGAGAAGGAGCAGGCCGATGAGGGTGTACAGCGTGGCAGAGCCGGAGATGCCCTCGACGGCGCGAATCTTATTCGATATCGGTAGGCTGTGGTTATGCAGCGTCGCGAGGAAGTACGAGTAGATTGCGAGGATGAGGGCCGCGGAGCCGAACTGGACGCCTCGGACGAACCACTGCAGGAATTTCAGGGCGAATGCCATGTTGATGATGATGTTTGTTGTCTCTTAATGGTGCGGGTTGTTTAATCGGGTGAGACGAGTCGACGTATTGATATTTGTGCTCGATTCACCCTTATGTACTGGGCAAGTTGTTTGGTGGAGATAAATGAAAAGGTGGAAAAGAAACCTCCCAGGCTGCATGTGTGAATGCCCGGGAAGGAGAGCAGACCCTTAATACTTTGAAAAGCAATGCCCTCGCGCTGCCGGTAGTGGTGTGAGATGGGTCTGCGGCCTGCCGATCCCGCTACTGCGTCGATCGTGGCAAGGAATAGCTTGACCGGGATTTTCTCTTTCCTTCTTGGCTCGGTATTTTAGTCTGGACGGAGGCCCCAAAGTAGACTTGATTCTTTTCCTTGCAGCTGCCAGTTTGGACGGACAAATGGCAGTGACGGATGATGGGCGTCAGGTCTTGGTACGGGGCGCTGTTTGCGGGCGATGACGAGGAAGGTTGTGGCTGATGATGGAGGGGACTGCTCCCCTTGGTGGGGCTTGCTATGATGTCAGACGTCTTGGAGGGGCAGGCGGCGGCGTGATTGGGCCGGATGGGGAACGGCTTCTCCACTCGCAAGCCGGCACGGCCACGGTGCCAGGTGCTGCAGTGTGGCTTTGCGGGGGCGGATGGACTCCCTGGAGAAGTCGGTTGGTCGGGATCGGTCGGCGACAGGGTCATTCCATCGCTGCTGGATCCACTTGGGTGGGCTTTCTACGGCACGCACGGGAAGACCCCAGGGGCCTCCCAAGTTGACGTTGAAGGTGGTGTTCGTGACTAAAAGGAAACGAAGGAAACCGGGATGCCTTCCAAACGGCCAAAGGTCAAGAGTTGGCAGGAGTTTTATCCGTTCGTTCCTGAGTCTGCGTGGCGCCCAGACGCAGACCTTGAGAGTTACCAGAGCCTTACGTAGCACGTACAACTGTCACGACAAGCCCGTCTTGTCTGACATGAGGATTTTCAGAGTATCGCGTTAGAGAGATCCTGGAATTGCCCACATTTCGACCTCCTGTTGCACATTGAATTCCCTCTTCTAACTTGAGACTGGGGCGACCCGCTGTATCCGGTTTTGGTGCCGTTGGAAAAAGAGACAGTGTACGCGTTGCCGAGCATGTCTCGGTTTGATGGCCAGGACCCGGCTACTGACGATCATTGGCAGGCTAGCGCGCATCTGCAAGGTCGGTCCTGTCGATGATATAATTGATTTTTTCCTTGTTCAGCTGGCATTTTTCATCCGTCAGTCGCTTTGCGTGGATAATTGTTTCCATGTCGCTTTTCCTCAGCTGAACCGTTTCCCCTGGATCTCTCAGGGTTTCCCCAGGTGCGGAAGGGGGCTGATTGACTCGCTCGCAGCGGTCTGGCCCTTTCCCGCGAGCCCACATGTTGCATTTGATCAAGGCAAATGGGAAACAAGCTAGCCCTCCAGATGTAGCGTCAGAATGGGCGAGAGAGAAGAACATCGAGCAGCAGTGATGGTGCGGCCAATGGACAACGTCGACGAGATCTGCCAAGTTTTGCCCAGTTCGGCCTGTCAGGCCGGACGGTCCAAATTGCCGACTTAGACGTCAAGATGCAGACGAACCAACTTTTAGGTCTGGACATGTTTCGTCATCACCCTCATTCCTGGCTTTCTTCGCATCGGGATAGCTCATGTCCTTGCAGTAGGTTGTTGGAAAAAGTCGTTGATCGGACGATTCAACTGAATAAAAACCGAAAGCCTAATGCAACGCCGGAAACCGAGGCATGCTTTTGGAGGCGGGGCTCTCTCCTTCAATTCGGTAATCACAAGTCGAAGCTCCAGGGCCGCCCAACACCCAAGCCTAGCGTCGTAGCTTGTCTCATACAACCTACCCAGCAAAAGTACCGAGACAACGCAGGTGCAACGTCATGAACCGGAACAAGTCCGAGTCCTTGGGCGCATCATTGTGGCATAACGTGCGGCTTTCATCGGCCACTCTGCCCGCTTGCTGAGGGTTCATGCCTTTGGCTGGGAGATGCTAGGTGTTCGCAGGCCAGGGAGCCATAGCTTGGGATCGGAGACATGATTCGGAGTGGGGCCCGTAATCCATCCCCGTATCGGGATGCCGGAGACTTGCGGCACGCGGAGTCTGCAGGGCCCGCTTACGGTCCAATGCGTGGAGAAACCGAACGGTACCGCTGGGGGCGCCGAATACGTTTGGTTCAGCGTTGCTTGTCCAGCTCGCACTGAAATATCAAGCGCCTCCGGCAGTTCACAGGACCTCAGGCTGCTTTCTTACCATCCAAGTGGCACCGATGAGCGCCACCAGTGGGAAGCGCTTCGTATCCAATGCGTCGGTAAGGCGCCCATTGTGAAACATCGGAACGAAAACCGGCCTACTTTGGTCTCGTCGTGGTTCTTGCGGAATTCGGGAACAAGATTCTGGCACAAGTCTCTCTCCGTGTCGTGGGCAATTGTCTCGCAAAGCGTAACACAGCAGCCCTACACCAAAGTCATCGAACCTGCAGGGCGCTACCCTTATTGAAGAATTTCGGACTTCACATGGACAGGAAAAGTCGCGGCATCTTGGCGCACAAGCTGCCGAGTAGAACCGTTGGCTTGCCCCAGGCGTCGAGGCCGTTCGAGCCACTAGCTGGTAAAGGGCTGGGTTCTCCCCCTTTAATCCGACAAAATCGATAGCCCGTTCCCGCTAGCAACAGCCACATTCTGTCGCTATGACAGCTCTGGCGAACTCTCGGAGCCTGGGCGAGTGACTCGTCTGATTCTCTCGATCTGACAGGATCGTGGAGTCTGCAAGTGTGGAGGAGGACTCGCGTCGTACCTGACAGCGCAAGGGCGTCTTGGCGAGCCGACTCAGATATGACAGCCTTGTTGACCAATGTGTCCTGCGAGAGGTGAGTGAACAGCAGAATGAGCATGCAATACCATGGTCAGATGGGCTTTGATGAGGAAAGTATTCGACGACATGCTCTTTGGGTTGACCAACTCACTCCTTTCTGACTGTCTTTGGCTGTGCGGGATACAAGTAGGTTTACTAGTGTTCTTTCCAAGGTCTTGGATCTCGAAAGTAAGGTTGTGGATGATGCTTAAAAGCCGACTTCCGTTCTGCGTGATCGGCATGCTGGACAAAGCTGCGACGTGCTCGAAATATCTTCGAATGCCGTAGTTGCCGATGCTACAGCTGCAACGAAAGTTGTCTGTGTACTTCAAAGCCCTTTACCTGAATTTTGCCGGTGCCAACTTCAGGGCAAGATGAGACGACGACAACGCCTTACCTTGAGGGTGGGGAGGATTACGCAGCTGCAATATCCCAGAAGACGTATGCGGTATCTCGGCAGCTGGTGGTTCAGCTGGGCGCCATCGTTGTCGTGACATCGATAGTTCGGTGCTGTAGGTGTAAACCGCATTGGGGTGCCAAGATGAGGAAAACAGACCGTATCCTCCCGTGTGGGTACTTTATCAGGATATACCACCGAGATATCTCGATTTGAAGATGCGGGAAAAGCTCAAGGACAGTTGAAAAGGTCTTGTCTCACCGCAGCGTCCGGCGGCAGGTTGGCAGTCCAAACATGCAACTTACGATTCATTGCCCAAGACACCATTGGTCCCAGCAAATGCGTGTTCTTCAAGCAGGTAGGCTACTGTATGGGGAAATAAGCGTTGGTCAGGGGCAAGGGCTCACCTCGTTGCCCCTGGACGGTTCTCGCGCTGCTGCTAGCACCGTCAGACGCCACAAATTGCCAACGGCCAATTAGCAGCATAGCGCTGCCTCTTGTCCCTTCCTTAATCCAATATCAGGATGGCGCTTACCGGAAGCAGAAAGAAAAGCCCTGGCATCCTTGGCCAAAGTCCATGCCAAAAATACGAAGAGACACCAACACCACGATCATCACAACACCCATGAACCATAGACCCAAGCTGCCGCCACTCTGTCGGGTCCTTCGACACTAATGAACGATGGAGGGTGCTGCTCTCTTTGGTGATAGCTGCACCCTTTCTCAGCCTAGACTTGCATGGCATGCCCAGATCGTCCATCTTGCGGCTATTCCATTCGGCTGGTGCGTCGTCTCTCGGCCTCCTTACACGCTCTGCTGTGCGATGGCGCAACTCTGCTACGGCACGGAAGCGCCGAACCTCCTCCCCTTCCCTCTCAGTCCATTCGTCTCTCAGCAGATGTTTCTCTTATCAAACGGCTAGTGGCCTTCTCTCGTCCTTTCCTACTTCACGTCTTCCTTCCCGTGTCGGGCTCGCCCATTACGCTCTTTTCAGGTGCATTTGTTTTTCAGTATCTCGCATTAATATTTCAGCTGAGCTTTTGTGGCTTATACACTCACTCACTCACGCTCTTTATCATAATCACTCGTTCTCTTGATCCCGGCCTGTAGTGCTGTAATCTTCAACAACATGAAGGGGGCGACATCCTTGCTGCTAGCCCTCCTGGGACTTGCAGCCAGAACCACCGCCGACCCAACATGGCCTGCAGACATCGACGAGCTCGAGGAGATCATGTACCAAACCACCGGTGTTCGGTCACGAAAGTTTGCCGATTCCGTCAACCCCTGTACGCGAGAGGTCTCTGGTGCAGGTCGCAAAAACGCCGCCGAGTGGCTAAGGACCGCCTTTCACGACATGGCTCCTGCAAACGTATACAGGGGAACTGGCGGCATGGATGCATCTTTGCAGTATGAGCTGGGATCGAGCGACAACACAGGTCCAGGCTTCGGCACTACCATGACCTTCATGGCTCCCTATTTGACGCGCAAGAGCAGTATGTCAGACCTCATCGCACTTGGCGTCTACACATCTGTGTTGTCTTGCAAGGGCCCATCTGTTGCCATAAGAGCCGGCCGGATCGATGCAACAGGACCGAACGACTCTGGCGCCGTTCCCACACCTGGAGACTCGACTCCAGTGTTCCTGAACCGGTTTGTTCGCATGGGTTTCTCTACAGCAGATATGATACAAATGACGGCGTGCGGTCACACCATTGGCGGTGTTCACTCGGCGGACCATCCCGATATCGTCCCTGCTGGCCAATTCACAAACGAAGTTGCCACCTTCGATACCACCGATGCCGCGTTCGATCCCAAAGTCATCACCGAATATCTCGCCGGTACCACTCAGAACCCACTGGTCAACGTTCCCGGGACCCAGAAGGGAAAGAACTCCGACTTCAGAGTCTTTAACGCCGACAATAACGCAACCGTAAAGGCGATGACAGACGCCACCGTCTTCAACAACGTTTGCAAAGCCATCTTTGAGAGAATGGTCAATGTCGTCCCGTCCGGCGTGACTCTGAGCGACCCCATCCAGCCCTACCAAGTTAAGCCGGTACAAATGCAGCTTGCACTCGCCGACGTATCAACCCTGTCACTGACGGGTGTTATCCGTGTCCGCACGACCAACTTCCCCCTTTCGAACATCGCCAGCCTCACTATCAGCTACAAGAATCGGAATGGCGGTACCATGTGTGGATCTGGAGCTTGTGCCTTCACCATTACCGTTTCTGGTGCTTCCACGAACTTGGAAGAGAGCTTCGCCTGGTTTACAATCATGCAGAATCAACAGAATGGAGTCAGAATCCCGGTCTCATCTGGTATCTCATCTTTCACGGTAACGATCAATATGAACGATGGTTCCACCAAATTCTTCGACAACAATGGCAACGGTTATCCCATGCAGGACGGCATTTTCCTTCAGACTGATCAGAGCTGTTTGACCCAGTCCAACGGCAATGCCACTTTCGTTGCCGCCGTCCGTAACGATCGCATCTCACAGCCTGTGAGCGTCAACGTCTGGTACAAAACAAAGCGTACCACCAGTGTCGTGCCACTCCTGAGCAACATGACACTGGCCATGACACAGGGAGCTTGTCAAGGAGGTTATACTTTCTTCACCGTGACGACCACCATACCGGGTGGTGTCAGTGTTGAGTCAACAATGGATTTAATCAGCGGAGACATGGTCGATTCTTTCAAGAAGGCCAACACCGTAGGTGGAACCTGTCAGGGGTGGTCTGGAGGTACTTCTTGCAGCAGTATCACTGTCTCATCTGTTGTTCCGACAAGCACTGCAAGTGCCCCCAGCCACCGTGCCACCATGGGCGGGTACAAGTTCGTTTCTTGCTGGACCGAAGCAACAAATGGGCGGGCTCTCAAGGGCGCGGCGTTCGCTTACGACGGCATGACTTTGAGTAGCTGCATGGCCAACTGCACTGGATTCGACTACTGGGGAACGGAGTACGGACGGGAGTGCTACTGCGGTAACTCCTTGGACTCTACTAGTACTTCTGCACTCTTGGTCGACTGCAATATGCCCTGCTCTGGAGACTCAACTCAGTATTGTGGCGCGGGCAACAGAATCGAGCTGTATTCGACCACCGCCACCCGTACAAGCAGCTCGACCGCGTCTGCGACTGCTACTCTCGCCCATATTTCCGCCGTTGGACAGTACTCTTTGGTTGGTTGCCAGACCGAGGCCACCAATGGCCGCGCCCTCCAAGCAACTTCGACGGCAGCCGACGACATGACCCTGGAGAAGTGTGCTACCTACTGCTCTGGCTACACATACTTTGGAACCGAGTACGGTCGCGAATGTAAGCAGCAGTCAACTCCCTTCCAGTTCATCTCGTCTAACAAGATACAGGCTATTGCGGTAACAGCCTGCAGGATTCTAGCAAGTCTGCTCCTATTACCGATTGCAACATGAAATGTGCTGGGAACCAAAATCAGTATTGCGGTGACGGAAACCGTCTTGAGTTGTACAAGCTTGGAACCTCTTCGTCTTCCTCCCATTCTTCGATTGCCTCGGCCGCGACAACCGCATCGAGCAGCAGTTCGGGTACTTCCAGCAGCTCCTCGAGCTCCATCACTCCCTCAAGCACCTTTAGTGCTCTCGGTGCCAGTGGATCTTCTTCCTCTTCCAGTGCTCCGTTCACTGGATCGTCCACCTTCAGCACCGTGGTCTCGACAAGTAGCGCCGCATCGTCGACTCGTATCTCCACTTCTTCCTCCTCCGCCTCAACCTTATCAGCCCAGGCCGTGTCAAGCTCAGCCTCCAGCAGTTCATCGATTCCGAGCAGCAGTTTGTCTTCGACCAGGAGCCCTGTTTCTTCTACCACAACTTCAAGCGCGACTAGCACTGTCCCTACGCTTGCCCACAAAGCGACTGTGGCCGCTTACAACTTGACGGGCTGCTGGACAGAAGGAAATGGCGTTCGTGCGCTGAGCCAGAACAGCTATGCCTCCCACGACAACATGACTCTCGAAAACTGCGCCGCCTTCTGTTCAGGTTACAAGTACTTCGGGACGGAGTATGGGGGCGAGTGTTATTGCGGCAACTTCCTCGCTTCGAGCAGCTCATTAGCTCCTTTGAGTGACTGCAGCATGACTTGCACCGGAAACCAATACGAATACTGCGGCGCCGGCAACAGACTCACCCTTTACACCAACAACAACGACAAGGTTACTGGCCCAAGTCAACCTGCCACCGCCGGCGTCTACTCTTTCCTCGGCTGTCGGACTGAGCCAGCCCAAGGTGGCCGTGCCCTGAGTGCGAAGGCGACGGCTTCAGACAAGATGACAAACGAGGTGTGCGCGTCGTTTTGTGACGGCTTCGCCTACTTTGGCACAGAATACAGCGGCGAGTGCTATTGCGGCTCTGCCCTGCCCGACACATCCATTGTGGCACCTATCAGCGAATGCAATATGCTTTGCTCGGGTAGCAGCACTGAGTACTGTGGCAGTGGCAATCGTTTGTCTGTGTACAAGAAATGAAGAGAAGGTCTTGATATTTTACGGGAAAATGATGAGTCTATGGCGTCAAGGCATAATATAGAGGTACGGATTGGATACCATGGCGGTCGATAAATATTAATTCATATAATAATACACTGAACATATTGAACATCCTTGCAAGTTTCCTCTGATTTCAGTCGGAGATTAGGTCTGCCATCCAAGCTATGGCTGATGTCTGAATGTTGTTGAGGGAAGACATGGAGGTATAACGACGACAAGGGCGACGACAACACTAATAACAACAGCTAAGTCGTAGAATTGACAAGAATTGACGACGATAATTATCATAATAGTAGCAGAGACGATTGTAGTGGAAGTCAAAATAACGATAGGGGCGACAGTAGCAAAGATAGTAAGGCAGAGGATACACGAATTCACAGGAAGCGTAGTCCCTCTGGCAGGATCAAACGCGAGTATCTCATGAGAATACAGAGAAAAGAATGTCAAATCGACTTCCAGTCAAAGGTGCTTTGTCTTGCCTCCTTTGGAGACCCCCTCACCGAAGCCCCGTCGTATGACACTCGGATGCAACGAAGTCACACGTCTCCTTCTCATCCTCGCTGAACGTGTTGGCGGTTTTATCTCGGGGCTCTATGAAGCTGCCCTATGGAGACTATGCCGAGGACTTTGCTCGAGGCACGAAGCGACCTTGAACTAGAATCGCTGTTTCATCCTGATAGGGTTCTAAATGAGCCTCGGTCGTGTGGGTAGCAAGATGACTACGTACGCTCTTGGGATCAGGCAATTGATGACCCAGAGCGTAGCAATGTGGCGATGTCCAGAGCAAGAGCAACGGCCGCTGTCTGCGTTTCCTTATGATGCGCGCGCAGAGACACACCAGGGTTAACTGCTGAAGCATTTCACGATTCGCACAATAGCGATTGCAGAAGTGTCATGTTCGAGTAGTCCATCCGGTTCATTTCGCTTAGGACAGAAGGTATTACACCCGACGGTCAGTCTCCCATCACGATGATGAACCAGCCCATGGAGGACGAGGACATGGCGAATCAGAGTTGGCATCAGATCCCTCGCTACTAGCTGCATACCGCCAATCCAGACGTGAAGTAGAGGGACGCCGGAGAGGGCACAACTCCAAACAGCAGCACTCACTTCTCCGTGTCATGGTCTCGGGGTCGTCTAGAATGAAGTTTCCGGCTCGGCATCGGGGTCGGGAGTCTGCTTCTTGAACAAGGCCACTCTCCAACAGTCATCGGTTGTATTCTCTTGCCGCTCGTCCCTGGAGGTCTGGACATTCAAGTCCTCACGTGGCCCAACCAAGCCAGGCACAGCGAACAGGAAGAAAAAGGTTCAAGTGTCGTCGCTCTCTGGCCACGAATAGGCTTCGCGACGTACACCTCGTGGTGTTTATGATCGCGGCAAAACAATCAGCCGATGATCCGCGAGTTCTGGACGAAGTAGCGATAACAGGAGCATGACGTTATCTCCGTCTTCCCCAATTACGCCGCAGCCGTCTGCGACATCGTGACATACGAGATAATGAGGCAGCTCCGCGCCAGATTCTAAAACGCAGTGACGGGCAACAATAAAGTCCCGCAGGTTTGCAGTGTGGCGGGCTTACCTAGGTCATTGCCACGGTCGGGTTCACGCAAATCACGGAGACGATCTAGACATCACAACACCAATAATGAAGCACCTCATCCTCGTCGGGGCGTGCTACGTCGACACGATCCTCACGCAAGACAAACCCTTCGCGTCAGAGCACGTAGAACACCTCGCTGACTCACCGTTCCCAGCATCCCGCGCTTCCCCGAAGAGGACGCAAAATTACGGGCGACAAGCCTGCGCGTCCGGCGAGGAGGCAATTGCCCCAACACGATTGAAGTGCTGCAGCAGCTGCTCAGAAACCTGCCCGGCGGCGGCGACGGGTCTTCACCTCAGGAGGAGGTGCTGCAGATGCACCTCGTCTCGCCCCTGCCGGAGCGCCAGTCGCAGGCAACAGCGAACATCATCGCCTCACTAACGCCGACGTCAACATCACCAGGCCGGGAGCCCTCGCCCTCCTCGTCAGCCGTCAACTTTGATCACTCCCTCTTCCGCGCGGGCCACCAGGTGCCGGCGAGCTGCTACATCCTCCGCAGCGAGGCGACGGGCAGCCGGACAATCGTAAACCACAATGACCTCCCCGAGATGACGGCCGCCGAGTTCCTGGTCGTCGCAGAGGCGTTCTGGGGCCGTGGAGAGAAGACGTGGTGGCACTTTGAGGGGCGGATCCCGGAAACGACGCTCGAGTGTGTCCGATCGTTAAGACGCGTGCTGGGCGCGAGTGCGACGGTAAGCGTCGAGGTCGAGAAGCCCGGGAGACCTGGGCTCAGGGAACTCGCCGCGGAAGCGGACGTCGTCTTTTACTCCAAGAGCTGGGCCGAGGTGAGCATCCTGCTTGGGGAGAGACAGAGCCAAGCGTCGTGAAGTTGACCAACACAACAGCACTGCGGCTACACATCTGCCGAGGCTTGCTTGAGAGGGGAGAGCCAGCCGCGAGCGTGGGTTTTGAATCGCCGCTTAGGAACCGTTAGCTGATTGTAGGCTAAACAGCTCTCTGGCGATGATCACATGGGGGGCCGAGGGGGCATCGTGCCTATCGCTGCAAGATCAACGTTACGTCGAGCGTCCGGTCGAGCACGCAGTCCAGCATGTGGCTGAGTGAGTGACTTAACCCCTCCAGCGAACGAGTCGTTCTCTACCGCTCATCTCTCGCTGCGCTTACGAGGCAGATGTTGACCGACACTGACACCCTGCAGCTCGGTAGGTGCTGGAGACACGTTCGTTGCAGGCATGCTTTACGGGCTCATTTGCCGGGAGCGTTGGGAGCTGGGAGAGAAGCTCGGCTTCGCGGTCGACCTGGCCACTCTCAAAGTCCAGCGCGAGGGGTTCAGTGGGCTGGGAGACGATATGCAAAGTCGTGCTAGCGGTGGGTCGTCCGTATCGGATCAGGCCAGGCAATGAGCCAGCTTCGTCGCCGCCGCCGCGGCTTCTCCGGATCCTGCCCCCCGATGCCGTAGATGGTCGCCTCGGCCGTTGAGTTGGAACGGGGTGGGTGGACCAAGTGTCCCGCAGTCGTCAGGATTCGGTCATCTGCAGAACTACATGGCAACAAGCCGAAGCCTGCGGTCCGGTGGGCATCCATCGTCGGTGGTCGCTCCTGATGCGTGTTCCGCGAAGGTGAAGGTTTGAGGACCCGTGTGGGGAACAAGAGGCGGTGTAAACAATGGAAGGTGGATGGCGGGCAAGCGAGAGAGAAGCATTTCTGCGACGGGGCAAGTTGGGCTAGAGGCGGACTTCATGGCATAATGTGTTGTGAACATTGCGGCTGTCAGAGACGCCTGACAGGTAGCAAAATTGGTCCATGATTGCCGTGTCTTTTGTCTTCAACCTCTTCGAGCCGCCGCTGCACTTGTGGAGTGAAGGTGAGTAGATTGGGCTACTCTGCATTTACACAAACACGCGTCAGTGCAGATGGCGCATCTCACGCAGGCGCGGTGCAGGCGAGGCTGCAGATGGCCTGCAGATGCTAGGCAGGAGCTGCCTGCTTCTTGGATGCAACAGAAGGAAGAAGTTAACGATGAACCAGTTGAGAGCCAGGGATGGCGAGAATCGACGAGAAATGTGTGAGGGAGTCGATGGGTCGCAGGTGGAAGAACCGTCCAGCTCAATGACGAAACCCGTCTTCAACCTGTTGTTTTGCAGCAAACTTCGCCTGCATTGGGTACAGCCGCAGGGAAGCGCGACGTAGATCTCCTGTTCTTGGAGAAGGAACGGATACGAAGCATGGAATGAGTTGAATTCCGCACTGGAGGCAGTCTGGCGGAGGCGGAGTTTTCAGTGGAAAGGGGATCCAAAATGATGTCCCTCTCTGTCACGACTGACTCTGAGCCAGATTCAGCGGAGACGGACGAACGAAGTAAGCTGTCGACGGGGAGCATCTGGACAGCCCGCCTATGAGAAGAATACCGGGGCATTTGCAGGGCGGTTGTAGGTGTTCTGGGCCCATGGATTTGCGGTGACTCGGATTGAGGAACGAGACCATCGATTCTTTTCTGCATCGCGTTGTCTTGTCGATTTGGTGGGGCTCATGGCTTGAGTCTCATTTTCATCGTCGGTCTCCATGAACCCTTCCCACCAATTTCTTCTGGCCAGTCGGGCTTGGAGCGTCGTACATAAGTGGATTCCAGGCGAAAAAAAATTGATATGTTGGCGGCTTGATGCAGCGGAGGTTAGCCCGTGTATGATTTCAGCGGCCTGTATGCTGCATTTGGGTTACTACAACCCTCCGCTTTCTGACAGAATCCATCATGTCGCAAGTATCAGCTCTGGTTCACCGGGTCGCTCGTGTGCAATCCTATTGTGCTCATGCCGTAACAGGAAGGGTCCGTCCAGAACACAAGAGACCGAAGGGAGGCATATTCTGGTGTTGCGAGTTGATCTTGCGTTGGCGTCGGCGGTGGGCGATGCGTACCAACAGCGCTGCTCAATGTTTGCTGGATTTCAAAGTATCCGACGTCTCACCGCCGATGGATCTAGCGGATCAACGAGTCTCATGAAAGGGGATAAACGAGTGACAGTGTATGAGAAGGTCGTGGTGGGCGAGGCCCCTACGCTACTGCATCGGGCGACAAGTTGACTAGACATGTACCGTGGGTAAGTGAGAGACAGTGCAGACCGTGCAGTGTGTGGAGAAAAAGCTGCGTCCCAATTATGGCAGCACATCGCATTGAAAGCATGTGGCGGCTTGCTGACGGGTTGCGTGGTTGCTTCTCGGAAGCTGTGGCATGGAGATGCGGCCCTTGGTGCAAGCGATTGAATAGTGACGACGGTGCTCAGCAAGTACGTCCTCACGTCGGACGTCAGAGGAACGGGCGGTGCCTGGTGGCAAAATGATAGGCCATCCACAATATCTGTAAATGCCTTGCAGGGAATCGTTTCCGGCCCTGCGTCCGCAAGGGTTTGGGTATCTGAAGAGGGGCATACCAGAATTGGGGGCTTGATGTGTCCTGGAGAGTGGATGATACGAGGCGTGTCTGTATTGAGCAGAGGAGTTTCTGCAGGGTCGAAAACATGACTTTCAGCCAACGAGGACGGGTCGTCGTCAAAGTGAAGTTGAGTGAGAGGCTTCTGCAGGATATGACAGGCAGGCGAATAGCGTGATGCCCATGCCATGCATCTTGTTCGGGAGTTTGAATGTGCGTGGAGAAGGATGAAAGTTCCGCGTGTCCTTCTCAATGGGTAGCCGTAAAGTGACCGAGGGGCATTTGAATTGATAGATGGGGGCGTGCACATTCGAAGGGATGGCGTCCACGGGCCTTGGGAAAGGCGGCAGTGTTGCTCTTTCAGCAGACCAGAAAGCTAGGACAGGCCGAGGAGGACCCAGCATGGGAAGGGGAAAAAAAAAAGCAAAACCGAGGGAGCGGAAATCAACGGTTACTGGGAAGAGTAGCGTGCTGCGTAAGTTGAGGCTACTTTGGCAAGCCGTAGCAGAGCTGTGAAGCGAGTGGTACACAGTACTGACTGGCGAAAGCTGACATTGGCCTGCGAGCAGGGTCGGGCTGGGGCTTTGGTGGACGCAGAAGAGAGCGAGCAGCAAAGACCAGAGGGGTGCGCTGCGTGTGAGTGTGTCGGTCGCACCCACGCAACAGCGTTTTGTCAACCATGTCTCGTGGAACGACGCAACCTGGAAGTGTGTGAGTACGGGCGGGATGGGCGAAGATGTGGGGGGAGTAACCACCCCACGGCGGCTAGTTTGCTTAGTGCGTGTATGAATGAGTGAGTGTGTAAGTGTGCCTCTCGCTGATACAGAGCCGCTCATCCAGAATCCATCCCTCTCGTCCACTGTGTCCGTCATGCGTGGACGAGGACCAGACGAGCCAACGAGTCCAGGGGAGGGGTCGAGGGCGTTGTCATCAGGGGCGTGTGGGCGTCCTCTGTCCCCCGGCCCAGCGAAAACAAGCCCAGTGACCTGAGTCCTGACATGGAAGGCAATGTTGCACTGGACGATGGCTAGCGGTAGTGGTATGTAGCGGCAGCGGTAGTCGTAGCGGTGATGGCTTTGCTAGCGGCGGCGGCAACCGGCAAGGATGCGACTAGACGATTTAGTGTGTCGATGGGGAACTTGCGTACCTTACCGTAAGAAGCATAGAGAATCCAAAATCCCCATCGATGTCGCTGCCCTGCCTCATCGACGTTGCGTCCGTAAAAACACCCCCCCCCTTCTGTCACTTCTCTCCCACACCTACCCCTACCACTTACACCCCCTCCCATTTGCCCTGGCTGAGATCACTGGGTGGCCATTTGCATCGACATGCCGAGTCTACTTCGCCTGCAGGTCGACCTGTCGCCCGTTGACTTTGATACTTTGTTTGCAAGCTTGCTTGCTGTGCTTCCACCACGGACACACACATGGTGTATATATCTCTTCTGCAAATAGACGTCGTTTCGAACGCAAGGATCCGTCATCGTCACTGAGCGCCCGGATTGTCGAGCCCGTCACGCCCGTCCCCGTACCCGACGTCGTCGTCTCCTAGTATGGGCCGAGTCATGATCTGCAGCGTAAACTTGTTGGGCAAGCCTCCATGTCGCTCACCTTGGTTACAATCTAAGGCTCAAGCCAATCTCCGTCACCTTCTGAGGCTGTTCATGCCAGTCTTGCTAGTGGTTTGACGTAGAGGGGAAAAAAAAAGTTGGCCTCCTGATGCACCGAGTTTGAGGTTTTGATCCTTGGGGAGTTCCGCCAAGAAGGCCAACCCGCTCGCATGCACAGTAATCATAGCACGACGCCTGACGAGACGAAGCGGCATCATCTCCTCTTGGGTTGGTGATATTGTACTACGGTTCTCCGCACATATTTCTGCCCAGCTGATTAGTGGTGAGCAACTGACGCATCAAGATCCATACCTTCAACATTTTCGTGCTGCTAACCTTCAAACAACACGAGTGAACTTCGAGACTTTAACAGACAGGACGACCAGTCCGGCAGCCCAAGCCGTCTCTATCCCGGTTCCAGGCACTCCGCATTGAAGAATGCCTTGATTGCCAGTACCCGGCTGCTGCGGTAGACAACCGCTAACAAGGCAAAGGGTGCTGGGCCCATGGAGCTGGTTATGGAGTGGCACCGTCGGATACTTTCAGCTTTTTTTTTTTTTTTTTTTTTTTTTCTTTTTTTTTTGCTCCTCTCGACTGCTTCGTCTTAGCTCTCTCATTCGATAGCCCGCTGGGCCACGCCAACGCTAAAAGAGACACAGTCTTTCCTTCTCGACCAGGGTCTAATCATCTCCGAGCCAATCCCTGACATTTCAGCGTTGGCTTCGCTGGGGTCGCGACCGGGGCCAGGGCTGGGGCCCGCGTTCGCGGGTGACAGCCATGGCCGTACCACGGCTGATGTCTCAACATCTGTACCTAACAAGTGGTGCTTGCTC